AAATTTTACACTAATACATACACATATAGACGTTGAATAAAACTAATTTTACGGATCTTATGACATGGGGACGTAAAACTCCTCCGTCCCTTCCTTCCTGTAACCATAGATGCTGTAAAGCACCTGAAACGTTAGGAATTAAAAATAAATAAAAGAAGTTAAATTAAATACGATAAAATACGTAATTTCTGTGTCTGAAGTGATCTAACGAATACAAAATATATTTTATATTCAAAATTATAAACAAGAAATATGTAGAGATCATACCTACACAACGTTCTTTCTGGATGATTCTTAATCAGAGCTTTTGGCTGTAAAATAGCCTTGGAAACACCATTTTGATTTTTAAAACATCTATTTAGTTATGTGCCACTCAATATTATACGTAATACTTTCATCAGAAACAGAGACATAAACAGAAACTTTTTTATTCAATGTAGATTATAAACATATAGATATAGATTATACGTGGTAAAGCCATGCTGCAGTTATATTAGAAGTATAGTAGTAGCACAAATGGGTCGGCTCGACCGGAGAGGGACCACGCTCTCACAGAATACCAGCGTGAAACAGTAGCTTAATGCTGCTGTGTTTCGTATGGTGAGTGTAGAGAACCGGAGACCCTTTTTACTGGAAACGAGGCACTCCATCTTAGTTCTCACGGGTGACAACGCATCTGCATTTTGATTCGTAATCGAGGATAGATGTAGATGTCTATGGTCCATAGTAACCACTTACCATCAACTGGACTGTGTGCTCGTTTGTCACCCTATCCTATAAAAAAAACAATACTTATTGTCAATCTCTTTCACATCAGTCAATTTCTTCCACTGGTTCGCAAAAAAAATCTCTTTCCTGGGAAGAACCAGCAAGAAACCCAGTGGGACTATTTTTTTTTCCAAATAATAGCTTACAATCATGTTTACAATTAACAACACAAGACAAATTAGAAATAGCTTGGTAGTGATCACCCTTCCCAGGGGTTATTATTATCCATAAATTCCTTAATATTATAATAACCCTTTTTATACAAACTTAGTTTAATAACATTTTTGAACTTTATGTATGACAAATTTTGTATATTTTCTGGGATTTTGTTGTAAAAGCGTATACATCGCCCCAAGAATGAATTACTGACTCGGTGGAGTCGGGTAACTGGTACTACTAACTTGTGTCTGTTCCTAGTATTTACAGAATGAATATCACTTATTTTTACAAAACTACGTTTATTCTTGTGTACGTACATTACATTTTCATAAAAGTATTGGGAGGCCAGAGTTAATATATTAATTTCCTTAAATTTTTGTCTCAGTGACTCTTTTGGTTTTAAATTATATATTGATATAATGGCCCTCTTCTGTAAAATAAATATAATTTCAATGTCAGTCGCGTGTCTCCATAGCAAAATACCATACGACATAATGCTATGGAAATAACTAAAGTAAACTATTCTAGCTGTTTCAAAACTGGTAAGAGTTCTAATCTTTTTTAAAGCATATGCTGCAGAAGCTAGCTTGGATATATGGGGGAGCCATTGAAGCTTTGCGTCTAGTGTAGTTCCAAGAAAAATGGTGGTATCAACAAGACTCAGTTCTTACCCCATTTAAAATTACATTCGTATTAACATGTTTGACATTAGGAGTTCTGAATTTCATACATTTAGTTTTAGATCAATTCAAATGCAAATTATTAACATTAAACCAATTGACTAACTTAGCTAATGCATTATTTACTTCGTCGTAATTTAATAACTGTCATTTTAATTTGAAAATTAAAGAAGCATCCCTAACGATATCGTTTATTTTACGACAGCCATTGTGGTTTTATAAAAACAAATACTATGAACATTGATTAAAATCCATCCCGCCATCGGAATGCTTCAAGGATATAAAAAATCCCACACACATATTCAGATAAGCTGTATATGCATATGTATACATATAGATGTACATAATAACACTGTCTTCCATGTCGTGCAAGCGCAAAACGTATCAGAAAATAAAAGTCGATGTCAAAAGTTCCTAAACGTAGTAGGAGGCTTTGTCATAATCGCAACACTCGTCAAGCGGATTCCTGACCAGTGTATTTGACGTTTCGTTTATTTGACGCTTGCCTAACTCGGTCTTGATAATATTTACTTCCTATTATATTTTATTTAAGTTTCTAACCTTTATTAATGAAATGGCGTGAATAATGTTCCTACTCCGCCATCATGTGGCACGTAAATTATACCTACTTTGATAAAACACGATACACAATAAAAATTAAACGAATAATTATGACGTAATGATTTCTTATATTTATGCGAACACTACACATTGATTAAAACTACTTTTTACGGATTTTATCGCGTTTATTTTACATGATTTTTAATTCCCGACGTTTCAAATGCTTTAAATGTAAATTAAAAGCAATAAAATTCGTAAAAGTGGTTTTAACCAATGAACGCGACATTATATATTTTACTTGCGAATATAATTAGGTATCTATATAAAACATTATTTTAAACATTTCTTGTACTGTATAGCTTAATACTCATGATTTGCAGAAACTTTCACCTTTATTTCAAGAAATAATGCTTTCCTAAGACGTCTGCTTCATTTCTTGACATTAATTCTAATAGGCGATGGAACAAAAAAACTTAAGTGAACATCTCACGTAATGGAAAACAATGTTTTGCTTGAGTAAAGGTTATTTAATTCTTTCCATACTAATTTTAATCAGGTAAATATACTTTAGCTTTTTCTTTCTCGTACTGAAAATGTTTATTTATTTAAATATAACCGTAAAATTAAAGCACTTATTATAATCATTTACGGGAAAATTAGTAATGTAACAGCTTTTATTGGTATGCCTTTTTTTTGGTTAAAGTAAATATATTTTATAACTTTAAACATACAACCTTATATGCTAAAAATACAGATCTTTGTTTTAGTCATTGAAATCTCCAAACCTAAATCTATGAGCAAACCATACATTTTATTTAAGGGCAATTGTAATTCAGTGGAAGTATCATTTAAATTTTTACCGGAAGTATATAACACATAATCATCAGCATACTGAGAAATACATACATTAGGATTAATTTGTTTACAAATATGAATAGTTGCAATATTAAATAGTAGTGGAGCGATAGAGTCACCCTGAGCAATTCCTCGACCTGTAGATCTAGATAAAATAACATTGTCCACCTGGACACTTAAGTATCGTTCCTTTAAGAAGGTCCATAAATATTTACTCATAATCGATCCAAATTTACAAACATAGCCGTAATATCTACGTTATTGTATGCATTCTCTACATCAATAAAGCAACCTATTGTGATTTGATCTTTTGAAACTCCCAATTGTATTCTACTGACTAAATTACTAAGATTATCCAGGCATGATTTTGTTTTCCTAAATCCAGTAGTCTCTTCGTAAAATAGATTTTCATTTTCCATCAACCATTCCAATATATTTCTTAACATAGCATGGAAGATTTTACTCAGGCAAGACATAAGTGAAATAGGTCGAAGCGATGATAAAGTTGAAGTCTCACGCCCTGTTTTTGGGATTGGTATAATACGTATTTCTCGCCATTGGAATGGTACAAAACCTAGGGAGTAAAACAAATTAAGTAGTTTGAGTAAAATAATACATGTGTTTTTTGGAAGATGTTTGATAATGGAATATGATATATTATCCACACCTGGAGAAGTATCTTTTGTTTTAAAACAGCACGTTAGTTCGCTCATTGAAAAAGGAGAGTCAATTTCAGTGTTACGAGATGAAAAAGCAGGGTCTTTTGGACAAACAAAGTCTGGAGTCAAACTGTGTAAAAGTTCATTTGCAATTGTTAGATCAACATAACTCCTATTTGTATTAGAACACCCATAACCTTTTAAGCATTTCATTTTTTGCCACATATCGTGTACAGTAATAGACTCATCAATCGAAGAGCAAAAATTAGAGAAATATTTTCTAGCTGCCTTTCTAATTAGCAGTTGTGAAATCCTAATTTTATCTTTTAATTTATCTAAGTTATCAGGAGTAGGGTTTTTCCTAAATAAAGCAAGAGCTAGGCGCCTTTCTGCAACAGATTTAGATAAGTTGGTATTCCAATAAACTTTAGGAGAAAAATGTTGTGAGGGATCTTGGCTGGTTCTGTAAAAAGGAATATGAGCATCAGCGGCTTGATTGACCATATTAAGAAATAAATCGTAATTTTTCTGCGGATCATTATTGATAAAAGCAAAACTTGAAAATTTATATTCTAAATACGAGCTGTATCCATCCCCGTTTGCTTTCTTATAGTTCCTTTTCTTTAGAAATTGATGGTGATTATTGTGATATGACAAATTAATCTTAAAAATCAAATGATCACTACCCAATGACTCATTAGTAACCTTCCAATCTAACTGCAACGCTAAATCCGAAGAAGCAATAGAAATGTCAGGGGATGACTATGTACTATTCCGTTTACTAATTTAACGCGAGTAGCTGTGCCATCATTCAAGGAAACAAAATTATTTTCAATTAAAGAGTCAAAAATATTCGTGCCTCTTAAATCAGCCTTACAAGACCAGCTTGGATGATGCCCATTGAAGTCCCCAAGAATCAATGTTTTTTTAGTTTTAAAAGAAAATATTTCATCCCAGTCATTCTGAGAAGTTCGTATGGTAGGTGGACAATATATAGAGAGTATGTAATATATATGTGTACAGTTAAAAATCTTAATACAAATTATTTCAATTCCGGGATTAGAAATTTGGATAGATATCAGTCGAGTCTTTAAAGACTTGTGTGAACAAATAGCAACCCCACCATACGAATCATCTCGGTCCTTGCGGTAAATATTATAACCACTTATGTTAAGCATAACTTCAGCATTTAACCATGTCTCACAAATGGCAGCAATATGAATTTTCTCGCTATTTAACAGCTGGTCGAATTCCGTGCGTTTGGGCCTAATACTTTGTGAGTTCCACTGAAAAATGTTTATGTTGTAATTACTATTCATTATTGACTAAAAAAGCTTTTAAAAGGCAAATCCCAAATGCACTGACCCACCATCGGTACTAACCATTCAATAATTAATGACATTCCTTGAATCATTTTGTTCTTAAGTTGTTCTTGTGAATTTGTAAATATAGCATATAACTTAGAAAGTAACTGCCTAAAATTAAAAGTTGATTTAAGCTCCTCTATTCTCTCCTTTTTCTCTTTTCTTGATTGGAGCTCCCTTTCTGTATCATCATCATTATTATTAATTACTTCTTCTGATTCTGTAGATATATCGTTTTCAAATACTTCATTCTGATTTTGCTTCTTTTTTCTTTTTCTCTTTGTACTTATAGTTTTTTCTTGTAAAGTTTGCGAAACTTCCATAGCACCCGATTGTGATGATAATGGTATTGATTTAGTGTTAGAAGTAATTTCAGAGCGTAAGCGCGGTACAGAGCGAGTAACGTTCGCATAAGACATTACCCCATCTTCGTTTTGTGAGATAGACACAGGTATGGGTTCAGGTATATTACTATATAAAGGTGTATTTGGGTTGAGATGTCTTTGAGCCGTCTTTAATATAGTTGTTTCTTGTTCTACTTGTACAGGTTGAGGTTCTGGAGGAATATATATTTGTAAGGCCTTTTTATATGAGCAATTGAATTCAGCCATTAAACTCCTTAGACGCTTTTCTTTTATAAATATAGGACAAGATCTATCCAACGACATGTAACTCCCGATACAGTTAATAAATCTAAATGTTTTGATCTCACAATTAGCATGCCCCTTTCCACACTTAGGGCATACAATCTTTTTAGAGGGGGCAGACACGTAAGGCTATGACCGAACCTCCAACACCTTGAACATTGAGTGACTGGAAAGATATAGGGGTCGACGTTAATCTTCATACCGTAAATGTATACTGATGCTGGCAACGATGAGCCCTTAAATTGCAACCGTATTGATTCACTATCTTCCCATACCATTTTAAAAAAAGGTATATGTAGGCAAGCTATTTCAGTAAGTGTTAATGATAATAAAATAGAAGTAGTGAACACAGTCAAGTATTTAGGGATGTGGCTAGACCGGTCTTTGAAATGGAATAAACATATTACGGAGTTAACGAACAAAATTTCTAGATTTTTAAACATATTCAAAGTTTTAGTAGGAACTGGTTGGGGAATACATCCCAAGCATTTAAGAAGACTATATATTGCCGTTATAAGAAGTAGGCTAGATTATGGGAGTTATTTATTCGATAACAGCTGTCAAAAGTATTTAAGTAAGTTAGACAAAATAAAAAATCAGGCATTACGAGTAATCGGGGGATTCATTAAAACTACTCCTATACATACAAGGGAGAGTGAGCTATGTCTACCTCCACTAAATGTACGAAGAACCTTTTTGGCAGGGAAATTCATCTTAAAAGCTAAATCAATAAGAAATAATATCACACTAAAAATATTGAATGAATTAGCATATTTTAGAAACAATAAATATTGGCGTAATAAAAAGAAACCTTTACTATTATCTGTTCACTTCGTTGATACCCCTATTCACAGTAGTCAAAAATTAGAAATGTTTAATATAAGTACATGACATCTAAATATTTTAATAAAAATAAATATACATTTTAATTGTAAAATTTTAGTGCACAAAGGAAATTTTTATTGTTGTCAAAGATTTAAATAGTATAACAGTGGTTTATATAATATCTGAAATTAACTACGAGACATAAAAAATTTTCAAGATTGTGACATAATATGCCAAATGTAACAAAACAATTCGCAACAAAGGATTTCTGAAATATTATATATTTGATTGACTGATGAAGAGCTATCGTATCTCAAAGCCATATAAGAGTTTGTCGGGATATTTTTCATATTTGCGCATGGGGATTTTGTTTTTGTTCCCACTACAGTGCCTGTTCAGTATTTGAAAAGTTCTAGTCCGCGCATGATAACTTCAAGACACGGTTGCTAAGGCTGCCATCGTTTATTCTACCGACGCCATACGTCTGTGGATCTCTTACACTGCAGCTTCCAATTGCAGAACCGTCTTGTGACGCACCTACGTAACGACGCATGCGTCTTGTTACCAAAACAAGCAGCCTTCATATTTTGACTTTGACTTTTTTATATCTTCAGTGTAATTGTTAAGTTACTTCATTGTGTTTTTTTTAATTTGTTTTAAGTTATTCTTTTTTGTTATTGTATGTATTTAACTGTTGTGAATGCAGTCCGTAACCCAATCTAGTGATGACACGGCAAACGCGACACTTATATGTACACAGTGCAACAAGTCATTCAAATCTTTAAAAGGCCTCAACATACACACTACAAAAACACACAGGAAATGTATTAGCCAAAACAGTTCACCTTTAGACATACACCCTTTTATTCCAAATACGCCTACTTTTGCAGCCAACTTTCCAACTCCATTCTACACATATCTTAGCCATTTGAAAAATAGTATACAGACAGTTAAAAGAATCCCTCGAGGAGCTCGAATAACCGTTGCTACACATTTGTCACAAGTAATCCAGAAATGTTACATAAGCAATTGTACTCAAGACTGGCAGAACCTATTTTTATTTTCATACAGCACACTACATATAACAAAAACTGATAAACCAAATTTATCCTTGACACAAAAGATTAAAAATAACTGTACTGTCAGCTCCTCACCTTCTCCCGCACCTCTAATCAAACATGATGCCCCTCGTAATCGCAACAAACTAATCGAAAACAAAATCTGTGACGGAGATCTCAAAGGTGCCGCTCGCCTTTTGTTCTCCAACGAGGTGCTTTCACCAGATACCCCTGACACCCTTCAGGCCTTACGGTCAAAACATCCTCTAGCTCCAGTAAACCCATATTTTCTCGACCGACCAACATTAGGGCAAGCATGCCTTCAAATTCAAAACAAAGATGTTACGGATGCCATTTTATCTTTTAAACCAGGTTCGGCTGCAGGTTTGGATGGAATCTCACCGCAACATTTGAAAGACTTAACATCGCATTCTGTGGGTGATGCAGGTGAGCAACTTGTAAATTCGATCACTAAATTAATTAACTTTATGTATTCCGGTAATGTCAATCCAGAAATTGTTCCAATTCTTTTCGGCGCGAACCGCATTGCTCTCACCAAAAAGGACGGAGGGGTGAGACCAATTGCTGTTGGATCAACACTACGACGCCTGGCCTCCAAAATTGCTGTTCGACATATTTTACAGAAATTAAATTCGGAATTTGAACCCGTACAGTTAGGCTTCGGTGTAAAAGGAGGGTGTGAGGCAGCTGTCCATGCCCTACGTTCTTTCCTAACATATGGACATCCTGACGTGTTGCTCAAAATTGATGTCAAAAATGCTTTCAATTCGGTAAATAGGGGGTATATATAATAATAATACTGACCGAAATAAATCAACATATACCCGAAATATACAATTATCTTCTTCTCAGTTACGCTGACCCAACAAAATTGTTATATCGGTCTAATGAATTATCCTCGGAAGTAGGTTGTCAACAAGGTGATCCCCTTGGACCAGCAATTTTTAGTTTGGCTATAAATCCCATAATCAAAAGTTTAAATTCTAAATTCAATATTTGGTATCTGGATGACGGAACCTTAGGAGGTGATATGGAAACTGTATTTTCTGACCTTTTTTCAATCAAAAATAAATTTGAAGCCATTGATTTGGAGCTTAACTTTAGCAAATGCGAACTTTTTTATAAATAACTGCAACTTAAATTTAAATGACGTAAAACACAAATTTAATACTTTGGCACCAAATATTAAAATAGTTAACAGTAATTCCCTTTACCTTTTAGGTTCTCCAATTTTTAACGAATCTATGTCTGAATATATTAATAATTCAATTGCTAAATTTCAAAATTCTGCTGACCGTCTCCTTGAAATTAGTCCACATTATGCACTTTGCATTTTAAAATCTTGCCTTTTTGTCCCGAAATTTACGTATGTGCTCCGTTGCTGCTCCTTTTGGAATCACCCAGACCTCTTGACACAAGTGGACAACTTAATCAAAATTAGTTTAGAATCGATTCTTAATATACACATGAACGAGCAATCTTGGACCCAAGCCTCCCTACCCATCCGTTATGGTGGTTTAGGAATTCGCAAAATTTCCAGTGTCTCTTTACCAGCCTTCCTATCTTCTGTCTATAGTTCAGCAAATCTCATAAGTAAAATTTTAAGGGCATCCCCTTCAAACTTTGAGATTGCTGGCCTGGAAGAAGCTAGAAACGCTTTCTTAATTGCATGCCCTGGTCAAAATTTTCAATTTCCTCTAAATTCACAGAGGAGCTGGGACGACATAAACTGCAAATTGACTTATGACAATCTTTTGAGCTTTAGTACAGGTTCGGCGCGTGCTAGGCTTTTGGCCGTGGGTACGCATGAGGCCGGCTACTGGCTTCACGCGTATCCTTCGTCAAATACAGGAACATTTCTTGAGCCTGACACGCTCCGAATCGCAACCTGTCTACGGCTTGGGGTTCCGGTCTGCGCTCCTCATAAATGTCCGTGTGGCAGTGACGTCGACAAGCTAGGATATCACGGGCTATCATGCCAAAAAAGTGCAGGTCGCTTCTCGAGACATGCAGCTCTTAACGATATCATACGCCGGTCTCTTGCCACCGTCAACGTGCCAAGTCTACTTGAGCCGTCTGGTATTGCAAGAGACGATGGCAAGAGACCGGACGGTATGAGTTTGATTCCATGGAGGATGGGCCGGGTGCTGGTATGGGATGCAACCTGTTCAGACACGCTGGCCCCTTCCCATCTACGTGGAACCAACAACAGAGCTGGTGCGGCTTGTGAAGCGGCAGAAAAGGCTAAAGTTTGCAAATACAGGGGTCTAGGCTCCGAATATATTTTTGTCCCTTTCGGTGTCGAGACCCTTGGTCCGTGGGGTCCTAGCGCTATAAGCCTTTTTAAGGAAATAGCAAAAAGGTTAATCGACGTCACAGGAGACCGAAGAGCTGGCAGTTACCTCGGACAAAGAATTAGTCTAGCTATTCAACGGGGAAACGCTGCCAGTATCTTCGGAACCTTGCCTAAAGGACCTCTTTTTTAATAATTTAATTTAGTTATTATAATATATATTTTTAAGGTTTTTAGTATTAGTATTAATTGTAAATATTATAATTTAATTTCATTAATTATACTTATATTTGTTTCTTCATATTTAATATTATGTTTCACATTTGTACTAACATTATTTAAAATGACTAAGTAATGTTATACATATATTATACTTATAAAACTGTCTTTAAACTTTAATCGACGTAGTGGTAAAATTAGACATTTTTTCATCAATGACTCGGATGTGATTAAATAAGTCGGGCTTAGTTTTAAAAACCAAATCACTTTGCTTACAAGTACATGTGTCAGTAACATAGGTTTAAATAACATAGTTAATTTAAATATTCCGTGTATTGCACAAGCTAAACGAAATT